CAATTTATAATATAATTATTATGCAAAAAATTATATCAAAGTGGAAGCGAAAGCAATGACTTTATGAATTTTGGGGTACAACACAAAGTAAAGTTTAACCAGGTCTTCTTTGACAATATATATATATATATATAGTAGAAGCTATCTTTGCTGCCATTTAATAGCTTATGAAGCGCCTATTAATTGACCTTATATGTCTTCATTCGTCGTTTACGAACATTTTTTCCCAAATCAATATTCCGCACTAACCTTCTATTACCTTTTCTGGTAAGATTTCTGGAAATTTTATGCGACCAATTATATATACAAGTGAAACTCGTTAAGCCGAAACCACGCTAAGCCGAAATTGCATTAAGCCGAAGTTTTTCTGGTTTACCAAATTTTTATTATACATTTTTTGCATACAATTTTTTTTCTTGTAAACCCCTTATTTTTTTTGGCAAAATCCAATAATTTATCCCGTGAACTTTTTGAATTATCTGCTTTCTGGTAATTTCCTTTCCTTTTTCATTATTGCTTAAAGAATAACTGTCAATAATTTTTTCACAATTCTCAGCAAATTGTTGGGTATCTATTTTCTCTTTAATTAACAGCCTCTTTAAGTTATCAATGCTGGTTCTGCCGACAACATTATAAAGGAGAAGTAAAGTAATTTTTATTTCGGCGTCTAATTTATTACTTAATTTCTTTCATAAGTCTATTTCTATTTGTTCTTGTAGTTTTTTCTTCGTTGTACACGTGCAAGCGATTTTGAGTCCCAGATATAATTGTATAACCTCCATAAGTGCACGCACGTGACATTTAAAAAAGGTCAGCCAATTACCGTATTTCTCCGACACAAGTACCCGGGTATTCCCCTTGTTCGTTTTAGTACCCGGGGTACTCGTGTGTGGGGGGGTACATCGTACTGATGGGGGGTACATATCTCGATTTGTTTCTTTAAACTTCTATTGGTTGCGGAATCATGTTCTCGAAATTGTATATTATAATTAACGCGCATTATTAGATACTACTAATACTGTATAGTATATAAAGAACTTCGAAATTAAAATTCAATTGCGATAAGAGATTCATGGGAAGAAAAGCGTTTAAGTGTTGTGGTGTTTCAGTCAAAATGGACGGGACAGAGGATGATGTGGTGTTTGATTATAAATTGTCAATAGTATTGACGGCCAAATCACAGGGGGGTATATATGCCGGAGGGATACCATAACTAATACCCGGGTATAAATCAAAATTTGGCCTTCAAAATTGCCGCAGGGTATAGCTCATGGGAGGGGGGGTACTCGTGTCGGAGAAATACGGTAATTGCTCTCCCAAACCCCAGACCATCCGACCGTAACACTATATTAATCCTGTTATGGTTTATATTCACCACATTCTGGTATGACAAAGGGAACATTAAAGTTGACATGTCAAAAAGTTATGAATGAGCACCATTATTACTTTCAAAATGTCATCAGTCACACTGGTCAATTTTACAGCCATATCATAATTGCCTCTCATTTATGTCACATAATAGAATGTTCACTTTGTCTGGTTTTGTTGCAGTCTGCCCCCAATAATGGTGTCAATTTTCATGCTGGTAGGTAAAAACATAATAATAAGGGGTGTACAAATAAATCTGTATGTTAATGTAACATTAAAAGGAAAGGCCAACAAACAGCAGGGTTTTTTTTTAACTTCATGCAAAATCCAGTATATATATAATAACAATAAAATAATTTTTTATATCAGTTTGTAGCTTAAGTTTTCAAGAATCTGCATATAAATTTTGAAGTGCTTAGCTTTCTGGAATAACAAATAATTAAACAAAAGGCAATTGCAATCAAATCATGTTGTTCAATTGGATTAAGGTCAAGAGATTGGGACGCCAGACATATTGCTAAAAATTTCTAGAATTGATTTCTTATCATAAAAGGTGCGATCTGCGTTGTAATTGTAGCCTTCATAGTCTCTATTTCTTATTCACTTCTTCCTTTTATCATTTCGTCTTTTAATAGATCCTTCTACTCACTGAACTCTCTCTACCTTACCAAAGCAAATAACTAAATAGACAACTGATATCGATTCCGATGCGTGGATTTTATTAATATGCTTTTTTAACAGCTATTCTTGGGCTGACAAACGAGGCCTAGAGATCTGCACTGATGTATACTGTGAATAAATAAAGGTCTATATGTTTGTTTATTCATAAGATTCTCTTCACATGTCTCCCTTCATCTATTTGCATTACTTCATCGTCCTCACTTTCTGAATCATCATTAAGGTATAAAGTGTTCATTGGAAATCGGAGATTGGCTTTGAGCATGGCTGCCTTTCGCTTGGCTTCTCGATCTATCTCATCAAGATCCTACATAAATAGGATGTTAATATAGCATTGCGCAATACTCGCTGTGTTTCTAAACATAACAACAGTAAAACAAACCGTCTCCGAGTCTGAACTTAAACTCGTGATATTTCCAAATAGCAGCGACTTTTCTCTTGGGAGTGTAGTCGTAGATGGGAGGTACGAGAAACTTGTGGGTTCCTCTTCAAACTCTAAATAAGGATGATATTTATCTGAAGTAACTACTAAAAAGACTTTTGACCGGAGAAATTTTTGATAAACGAAAACATACTTTTGCTTTTTATCAAAGACTCGATGTCTTCCATCTCAACGTCCTCAATAAAACCGCTTTTGCTGCTTATGGTTAATGTCCTCAGATTCCTCAAACCCTCAGGCTCCATTAACTTGTCGTCCGGCTTCACATCGATAACTACCTTTTTGATCACTGTGGCAATATCAGCAGCATATATCCTGACTAATGTCGGAGGCGGGTTACAACAACCAAGCACCCCCGGTGGATCAACGGGCATTTTTCGAGATATCTCAAATAACATATGATTGGGAAGCACATATCTGCATTAAAAAATCAAATGTTACATGACTCCAGTAGATTGTGTAAATATGCATAGATTCACACTTACGTCACACTCTCATCCTCCAGTCTTGCTGTTTTGTCTCTCCATTCGTGTATTGCCTTGAACACAGCCAGCTAATATAAATAATAATCAGTAAGCAACTTGCTAGAAAATAAAAACTATTTAAATTTTCTGTATCTCACCTGTTGATTATCTAATATATGGTTCCATTTTGCTAATAGATTCTTCCATCCTCTGAAACCGTTTCCGTTCTCAACATCATATTCCATTTTCTTGTAGACAGTCATTGATGTCTCTCGCGACCTATCCAAGACCACTTGTAAAATATCCTTACCAGGTGCCGACCTGTCTATTAGTTCGTGACGCATCCGATCATATATGTAGAGAAGATAATGAGTGTCTTCTCGAGCATATCTAATCATTTCTGCCGGAAGGGGGCTATGTGATGAAACGGACAAAATAATCGTCAATCCAATAATGTCGGAAAACTCTCCCTCCCTCCACTTTTGCCCTGATATTTCTTGATACATACCGAAGCCGCCAATCCGCCAATTGGTACTTTTTATCTGCATCAATGCCGCAGTAATGCTTTAGCAAATGTGCTAATGAATGTTTGCCAAAATCCAACACATTAGATGCGTGAAATGTATCAAATAAATTCACTATATAAACACCAAAATCTCTTTGAAGCCAAAGCACATCCATTTGTGCACCGTGTAGTACTTTTACAATATTTGGATCAGTGAATGACTGATTCAACTGATGCATAGCGTGTCGCAGCGCTAATGCATCAATAATAAAGTCTTCTTGTCTTGTGCTTATTTGTACCAAACATGTTATTCCTTGATATGAACGGTAGTCGTGATGCTCAAGATCTATAGCAATCTCTTGAGCAGTTTCTAATCGTTTGCATAACTCTTCTAATTGTTCCTCGGTCTCAACAAGTGTAAACGGTGTACTCTCGAGTGGTTGATATATTGATTCGGGAGTTTTATTTAATAAATGTTGCGGGTATTCTATGTTACTTATTTCATATTCGTATGGATGTGTAAGACTTGTGTTTGAGAGAAAGATTAAAGTTAGACGAAAAGCATGCATACATTGTTTCTATATTGTACATATATACACATCCGACTCTCACCAAACATCAGGTTCCGCATTATCATAATCTTTCAATGGCACACGAGCATTAGGTTTTTCGCGTAGTTTTGGAATAAAAGGCGCGTCCCCGTTATCGATCGTATCTCGAAACTTCATTTGGGGGCGGAGGATCCCTTGAGCATACATTAAACCCCTATCTAGCCAGTCCTTTTTTGCCTTTTAATAGAATAAATATATTGTTTAAAACACACGAAATTGAAAGCGAAGCAAAACATAGAAAGCACTGCTTACCACAACTGGAGTATTAGGAGTAGCTGTACCAGCGATCTGTTCGGCGCGTCCAGTAAACTCGTCAAGACAGACATCCTACCCAAAAATAACGCACAGGCGGTATGAACATTAAAGTACAATTAGAAACTGAAACTTTAATACGTTTATTTTTACAGTGCCTCTGACAAATCGTTTGTTCGCCCCACTTACAACTCTCTCGAGCAAATTATCATTGAGATCTGCCACCGACGCGAACCTATCCTCAACGTCTTCGAGCTCAGAAAAGGACTGTATTGTACCGTCATATATCTCACCGGCTGCTCTAGTTATCATGCGATTGGTGAGGTGTAATAACTTCTCGCCAATTCGATCCAAGCTTTGTCGAAATTCACGATCGCACACTCGTTGGAACCGGATCTCCTCGCTCGACACCTTCTTTGCTGCCTCTTGAGTTCGTAGTAGACGTCGGTAGAACTCTATTTGATATCGGGCAAAGTCCTCTGTTATGTTTGGAATGTCCGCCATGTTTGTCAAGTGTCTTATCTATTATTGCTAACTCTAGGCTTTTTGAGAAAATTTTTGTACAACGTGGGTTGAAGATCACTGCGCGAAAATGGTAAGTTTTGTCCTATATAATGTTAGCCTGCATAAGAAAGAAAACCCTCAGCAAATACATTCTGGTCAAAAAAGTCCAAAAACTGATCATGACTATGTTACAATCGGAAAACGGTGAATCGATATGTGAAGGAAACGGTAGTGATAAGGAAAAGTCGGTATCAAGTGTTCAAGACGTGCGGGAAGCATCTCCCGCATTTCGAACTCGTACACTTGTAAACGCAGACGATGTCTTCAATCATAACGCCTGGTGTGTAGAAATAGTATGATGTGTCTATCATTGCACATAGATTGATTAATAGGTGTTAGTTTTCCAGGGATAATGTAGAATGGGATGAAGAACAGGAGATGTATGCGCTCAAGCAGATCGAAAAACAAGCTAATTCTCCTGTGCCTGCAGAAGAACAAGGTAAATGACATTGAAGATGTTTATTTGATACCTGAAAAATATTTACAAGAATACAAATTTGGCTAGAAAGATATATGAATGAACCAGCAAGTTTCTGGGACGCTTTCTATGAGAAGAATGAGAATAAGTTTTTCAAAGACCGGCATTGGCTCAAGGTCGAATTTCCCGAACTGCATCAGACGATTTTGAAAGACGTAAGTGGAGAAGATACGAATATTGTTACATTTATAGTATTAAAGAAAATCATACCTATCAATGTTGATCACATGTTCAATAGTCTTTATTCGATTTATTGTTACTTTTCGTTCAGGCTGGCCCCAAACGCGTTGTTGAGGTTGGTTGTGGTGCAGGAAATACTCTATTCCCGCTTCTGGCTGTCAACCAAAACCCCGACTTGTTTATTTATGCTTACGATTTTTCTTCAACTGCAGTCGAAGTAGTAAAGGTATTGTTTATCTTATACTTTGTCAATTGCTGGCTTGCAGGAACTAACTCCCATACATGATTTTGATAGAATCATCCAAAATACGATGCACAGAAGAGCAAAGCCTTTGTCTGGGATTTGACAAGTGATAACATTCCGGATTGTGTTGATGCAGGATCGATAGACATTGTTGTGTTAATATTTGTATTTTCAGCATTGCAACCTCAACAATGGGCAAAGGCCGTAGAGAATGTATACAAGGTATATTTTAACACGAAATCGCTTCAGTCAACCAATTTGTTTCAATTCTGATGAGAAACTTCTTTCGTTTAGATGTTGAAACCTGGCGGATTGGTGCTTTTCAGAGGTACAGTCAATTTCCGAAAGATCCCTCTTTTATGAATTCGTGAATAGCCTCTCTAAGATAAATTGATTGCCAGATTATGGTCGATACGACATGGTCCAACTACGTTTCAAGGAAGGGCGCATGCTATGTGACAACTTTTACATTCGTGGGGATGGAACGAGAGTTTATTTCTTCACTACAGGTATCGCAACATGCCATTACTCTTCAATTTGCTCTTTACTTTTCCCAAATTCCTCTTAACATGCATCCATATTACAGACGAACTAGACACAATATGGGGATCGAAATTTTTAATTGAACAAAATGCAATCGATAAGCGACTGATAGTAAATCGACATCGAAGACTCAAAATGTATCGTGTTTGGTTACAAGGCAAATTCCGTAAAATTTAATATGCCTTTGCTGTTGTATAAATATTAGAATCTCATCTGCAATATATCTTCAAAATTATATTGAATTGTCGCCGTACACGTTGAATGCGCAACGTCAAGACTTTTCGTTGGCATTAGGAATGTAAACGTATGCCGAAGCATAGCTCACGCTGCTGTCTCTCTCGCTGACAACTTTGCCAGATTGTGCATAGTGTACGAAGCGAATGCGTGGTCGATCAGAGCCGTTCTCTATACCTGCTGCCAGTGCTTCTAAAGCACATAGTAAAACGCTGATGGGATGCCTGCCACAGATAGTGTTTTTTGTTCTTCCAAGATACTCTGTGAATTGGCGGTGGCTAATTCTTTCTATAATAGCCATCCCTTCTTTATCGAGCATTTCGATAGATTCATGAATGGGAATGGTTAGTGGCGTGTTTGATTTGTAAGACAAATTTACTATTTTGTCAGGACTAGGTGAGTAATGTGTGTACGAGAACCGTTGGCCCCTGCGAACATAGATATAAAGTATTACGTTTGGCAAATGAAAATGTTCCTTGGATAAACAGATAACGTCAATTATTACCAATGACAGAAATCAGAAGATATAATAAAAATATTCTCGGGATTCTCCAGATACGGAGCTAACAGCTTCCCATAGAGTATTTCTTTGGATGTAGACAATGCTCCGACTAGAATCGGTACGATTTTAATAGAGTCGATTTTGCTATTGATTAAAACAAAGAATATGTGAGCGTCGTATGTTCACCTTAAAGTGTTGCCATGCTCTCATAACAATGAAGAACCAAATTTAACCTTTCCAGAATTTTATAAGTATATGGAAGATGCATTTCAATACTATGTTCGGCCTCATCGTCATCAAGACTCATATCGGTGAAATGTCCTGTACTTTCAAGTTCACTGATCACTAAAATGACAGAAACTTGGTCATTCTCGAGTTTAGCAGTCTAGGTTCTTAAATAATAAAATTACAAACCATCGAGGTCCAGTGTTAAGTTTCCTAAAGGAGTCTCGTATTCAGTACACTTGGAAAGAGCGCATCCGGGAAGATAAACATGATGCGAAGGCCCTAGAATAAACACCCGTTTTCTAGACAATACCAAGTAATAAATTGATGAGAAACTACCCGCCGAGTAGTAACAGAATGTAAGACTGAGAACTCACACTACTTGAGGGTCTATGCATTTGTACGCAAATGCTGCAGCGGGACCGCTGTGCAAATAGCCAGCGTGACTTTATATAAGAAGTATGTAGATTGCAAGTATTGAATGAGTATGTAGCATGTGAGGTTATATATCATACAGACCACATGAATTTAGAGAGCTTACGGTGCAATAATAGCGCGAGCGCCTTGAACTGGATATGGTATATTGTCTTCAGTAGTCTCGGGAACTTTTCCAAGCCATTTGGAAAGCTCCTTATTCAGGCGAGATTCTGACAGCACAGAGTTAATGACTCATGACGGCAAACCATAATTAAATACTCAAGATTACTATATTGTACCTTGATCAGTATACCAAGTACCAGCGTGCGCAGCGGCTCTATTCATGACGCGACACTTTGGCAAATTGGAAAACACAGTGGAGTGACTCGGACCGATGATGTAAGTGATTGACTTTTTATTTGATCGGCTTATCATGGAACTTTCCATTTATAATAAATAAGTTAAAATCAATATAACTTGGATTCCTACGTTCTCATTCCCATTCTCAAAGTGTTCGCTATGGATCAACGACTACCTCCCGATTGGAAGGCAGAATATGACTCGAATTCAGGACAGTACTATTACGTTGGTGAGCGTTTATTTCGGGCAGTAAAGCGCTTAAAACATTGCAATTGCATAAAACCCTACAAGTAGTATTTACGCCTTTGTAGTAACTGTATCCTTCTAATCTACCCTTTTCCGCGCGACTTGTAAAAGATACTCGCACAGGTCAGTCACAGTGGCAGCCTCCAGGAGATGTGACACCAAGCACGCATATACCCTCGCCATATCCAGAACCATCACAACACAGTTCAGGCATGCCCAACGCCTCTCCACGGGGACCAGGCATGCCAACCGCCTCTCCACAAGGTCCAGGCATGCCCAACGCCTTCCCATTCGGGCCAAGCATGCCCACTGCTTCTGCTCACCCATCATCGGATGGGTATTCCGCCTCTTCGGTCCCTTCTTCTTATGCAAGCCCTCCCCCTTATACATCCACACCATCTTATGACGTCCCTACCGCATCACCATATGGTGCCTCCCCCTATCCACCGGATCCGTCCACATACAATCCTACTACTTACCCTGCTGAGAAACATTCGGGAGGTGGAGAGGCGTCAGCCTACTTTGGGTCGGCCCAATCACAAAACCCACCAACATCATACCCACAAGGAGCTTATGATTCTCAGGGTACGGAAGATCCTAATGACCCCAGGGCATTTAAGCTTGGTGGTATGAATACAACGACTGTTGCAGCTGGCGTAATTGGTGGTGCTGCGTTGGCTTATGCACTAGGACACCATAAGAAGCATAAGAAGCATAAAAAGAAAAAGTGGGGGAAAGGATGGAAATGGAAATAGATAGATTAGTTTGTGAGGGGACTGGGCAAGAATGGGTGAGGGGACTGGCAAGAACGGGTGAGGAGACTGGCAAGAACGGGTGAGGGGACTGGCAAAAATGGGTTTGTGTCTAATGTAATCGGGCACACGCAAATTATGTTTATGTGGATATTCTGATTCCTATATCGTATTTATTTAACAAGATCACTTTATTGGAAATTAACTGAAGAGATATAGATAGATAATTGTTATGCTTGGCCTGGAAATTGCATTTTTTTTGCATCTTTATTAATAACAAATAATAAACCATCTTTAAAACTGAAATCAAAGGTTGTTAGTGAATTACCTCTTGTACTGTAATCAGGTGACACTTCACCGACCGTATTTCTTATTGATGCTTTTTATTTTTATGATGTTCTAAAAAAAAATCACACGGAATTAACATGCTATCTGCGAATACCACTACATTCACATTCACAAGCTTCCTTCCTTCCTTCTATGAAAATACTCACTTAAGTGCAAATTATAATCGATGGTGTATCCCATAAGTCCAAGTGCCAAAATAACATGCAAAATGGGCGCTGGAGACCCAGTTTCAAAATATTTGGCCTTGTACTTTCCAGCCAGACTAGTCGGCACGGGATCGACTCTGGGTCCTTTCGGGATCTTCTGATAAAAGTCCACTAATTTAGCGAACCTCGCACCCTGCACGGCCGAAGTTCCCGCCTGCTTCACAGAGAGGGCAGGCGGAATGAGAGACTTCGTACTGAAGCGACGAATCTGTGTGAGGTTCATTTTCTTGAGTTTTTCAGTGATTGATATTTTTGGAATCTTGAATTTATGCCGAGAACGGGCCAATTAAATGATAGATTATCCAACCAATAAGTAAATCATAATAATTCCGAAGAGAGAACATTTTACGAAATATGACTCTTGATTCTAGTTAAGTTCTATTCTTTTTGCTAAACTATTTTTTTTTTCAACTTTACATTGCAGACTGTGTTTGATGAATGGAGGGAACTCATAGCAATAGTAATAGATCAATTAAGAACAAAAAACAACTTAGTTTCTGATCTCACTACAAGGGGAAAATTAATCAATCGCAAATGGGAACATTGCACGTCATTCTTATTTCTCCGTAAGAGAACTTTAGAGCCTTAATCTAGGAGGTTTATAGAGATCATGTTCTCTATTAAGAAAGAAATGCAACAAGCATGGAAATAAATAAAATATTCTGGCAGGATGCCTAGTTTGTGAAATGTAATCACTATTCGCGTCTGTTGTATTCAGCCTGCTGAAAGAATCACACCAGAGTTGACAGAAAAGGTTGACACAGATAACAATCGTGGACATTAGTACATAGCAAGCCGCCTTTTATTCAACGCACTAAGATTACTAAAATTCGAGTTGTCCTGCGACATATCCAAATGCCCTTACAAGTTTAACAGTATTCTCAATAATGGGATCCACACCAGGTGTCAACACGATAGTCTCCAATGTCACTATAAATGATGATAGTTGAGAATAATACTACAGACAAGACGTATGATAGTGTGTTAATTATCAGGACAAGTATCCAAGCACTTAAAGTCCGGCAAATAGCACACCATTAATTAATTACTCACCACTCTTGCAATATCTCTAAAGAAACCCCAGACCCAGTAGAACCACCACTGCGTTAACGGATCGTCAATACCCTGCTGCCTGTACTCTAGCAACTGTTTGGACAACACGTCCGCAAACTTTTGAAATACCAACAACAATACTTCCTTTTGTTCCCTCGTTACCATGCTAAGCGTGTTCTCAATCTGTTGGATTGACTCTGTCTCACTCCCTGCTGCACTCTGTCGGTCTGAAGCAATTAAGTATCCCAAAAGAAGTCGATAAAAGTAGAGGTTGGTACACAGAGTATTTGAAGTGATTAATATGAACAGTGAGCAGCGAAATACACAGTTTATAAAAGCCACACGGTATTAGTTACCATCAGACGTCATATCACCACCTTGCTCTTCTGCTGTTTTACGCAAACTATCCAGCTTTGCTTGTATTTGGGATACACGGGAAATCACTTTATTAATTGTATTTTTAAGAATCTCCCAGATATAGGATCTATGGAAATTTAGTGTTGTTAATTTATCAATATCGTATAGAACGTTTTGACTAAAAGAATACAATTCCTTATCGCATTACGACGTACCTAGAAACCTCCTTGTCAAATCCTTCCGAAAAAATCCACGTGACAACTGAACTTGCATCAACTACTCGATAATTTAGCAACTTGTCAAGCAGAATCCCAAGGAACTAGTTGAACGAGTAAATAATGATTACGTTGAGTGTATAATAACAAATGAATGCCAATTTTACTAGATATCTACCTGGGTATTCTTTGACCAGAAATCGGCCACTATTTTAACAGTGTGGACTCTGGCTTCGGCCGTTGTATTATATGACTGCAACAAAGTGAGATACCTAAATTTTAAACCCGTTTCAACAAACATCCAAACATTTGTAAAATGTTAAGCATACTACATTCCGCTCTCTCCACACGACAGCAAACGGCTGTCCATACAATAAGTACTGACCTCTCAATCACATTAAGAACGTGACTGAAACTCTTGCTACCTAGCATTAACACACATTGGACCAGGATGTCCCGCATAACGTTGTCCTGTTCAGCTTCTGGCGAATCGGGGATAATAGTACGCACTTCGGAGAGGAGTGATTGAATTTGATCATTGGAACTTTTACTGCGAAGTTTTCCTAACACCTGTTGTGCTAAAGTATGATATTGATTATCTGTAGAAAATTTATATAATACGTATTAGTAGACTTCATCTTATAGGAAATATTCAAATTTTCATCTGCTGAATGTCCAAAGCAAGACTTTAGCTTACCATCACTCCCATAACGAAAATTAGTTGTGGGCTCTGCTGCTGGGAACACGACTAAGAATTCCTCGGATACATTGGATTTGATCCTATCATAATAGCTATATCGTATTAACTTCTCAAACGTCTCTCGTATAAAGCAGAGTTTAGGATGAAGTGGATCCTCTCGGATACAATCTTCCCTATTAGTAATATTTGTAGATTAGTTAATGATTGAAGAATCCCTTTCGCATCAATTAATATTCGCTGCCATGTTTTTAAATAGTAATAAGCGATCGAAATACTAATTACCATTCATTCCACTTCCATACAAAGTTAAAGTTGCTTAGATGATGGGAAAACCAGTTCCAATAGCGATAAACACATTCAACGTCCATCATATCAAGACGGTCGAACAATATTCTTATAGCTTTACCTAAGTAAGACAAAAGCGAACCAGAATTAAGGCACAGATACAAACATAAATATGGTAAGCAGAAATCGGTTTGCAATAAAGGATATCGCAGGCGGAAAAGTATCCGGCAGCAGTTTGCAAAGTTCTGTGAACAGAGAGTGATAATATATTATCTTATATTTAGGATGCGGCAAGCTAAACATCTGCCCGAAAATAGCCTGCTCAGCGGTAAAGAGCAATTAGTTACATAGATTCCTTAGTGCGCGCCCGCCGCCGCCGCCGCCGTCGCCGCCAGCACTACTAAAACAAGCAAGCCCTCACCTCAACGAGCACTTGCTCAAGACCAAACCCAGGCATACGTTTAGTTTCATGCTCATTTCCTTCCGTGTTTTCACTCTCCGGCTCATTTTCTTTCTCTTTCTTGATTTCTGTTCCTTCCATGTCTTCTTTGACCTCGGCTTTAATCTTATCTCCACTCTCATCATCACCATCTCCCACAATATTATCCTGACTTTCCCTTACTGGGGTATTTCTATCATCACTCGCAAAAGTCCCTGGCGCAAAGAAGTATCGCAATTCTTTAAGAATTTTGACACATTCCTTTCGATTAACTTCGAATATATCAATAATATCCTGGACAACGTCATACATTAGGAAATGGTTAATGTGGGCTGGGTCTGGAACGAGGGGATTGGTCTGGAGAGAGGAGAGTAGGAGACGTACGTGAAGGTAGTTGGGTCATAGGGCACGAAATATAAAGGACGCGAGTAAGAGAATGGGAGAGACAGAAACAAGATATAATTCAAACGTAGAGATACAAATAGAGAGGACGCGTGATTTTTGTATAAACCTCATCCAGCGCGCCAACAAATATTCGGAATACTGGGTGTTTATGCGCATATTGTAGTCGATCGGAGGGAGGCGGTATACTTAACGGCTCGACGTCGTGCTGGCATGTTTTTGGAGTTGACATAAACAGGGTAAGCGGAATAAATGAAAGTTGCAGTCATGATCATGAAACAAGAGTCACTAGATCACTATCATACCTGATCTGCTGTCACCAGTGATGAATCGTATTCTGGCCATAAAGTCATAAGCATCGGACACTAAGCAATGTAGGGATAAAAATATTGTTATATAGGTGCAACTTAAGCTTGAAAAAGAATTGTAGAGTATGTGTCACATACTTACAAGCCAGCTATTATCTTTTATATTCAAAATTGAAGCCCATAAAAGTTCTAACGTCTTAATCATAAACCGTAATAAAAAAAATAAATATAATTAGTAAAATCAATTCAATGGAACCATAATCACGTTCGTAATATATATTACGATTAAAGCATACAGTAACAATAAATTACTTTGCTCATGAAACCACGATAGTCAAACGATAGACTTTCGTAAAGGAAAATAGTCGATTTCGGGCAAAGAAGCCAAATAATAATCGTAATTTAGACAAAAAAATTTAAAATCCTGACTCGCATAAAACTGCTTTATATAATACACCCATACACAGAGCATCTCCCCAGTATATCAAACACTCACATCACTTTGCTCGTACAATAAGTTTTCGGAGTAGTACGGTTTTGTTGCATTAAATACCGCCGTGACAGAAGAATCGAGCTGTCTTCGTTCATCAAAATATTTTGTGAACCTATCTAGCAAGTCATCAAATTGGTTGGAAACTCTCTCGTGTAGTCGTTTACCAACCTTATTGTAAATATTTGTGAGTTGATTATCTCATAGAAATAACGGTGAAGAGCATACTGTACTTACATATGGAATTGAAAGTAATATCATTTCTGCTATAGTGTCTGCGCGTAGCTTAAAAAAATGCAATGTGGTTAGCTTTCGATTGAGATCTGACTAATAGTATACAGAATGTGGAAACGGCATACTCTTTTAACGCCTGGCTCGCAGATTACGTCTGTGAGACTGTTGTATACGGATATCATGGTTCCAGGCAGTATTACGTATGCATTTGTCAATTCGGCAAAAAATTTGAGCTGATGAAACAAGATATCGGTTATAAAAAGCTTTTTATAGCAAAAGCGACAATAGCAGCATTGACCACCACCTATCTTATAATATTCGTCCCATTCCTGTACGTAATACTAACCATCAGCTTTGCACTCCTCCAATTACCCTCATTCAGATAACTCTGCATACTTTCAATTGCCATTTCGACTACAGCAGCTCCAATAATAGGTCGTTCTACATTTACGACGCCCACAAGAGTCGCGTACAAGAATATCTTCATTGGTAATTCTGTCACACTATTTATATCAGAATGTATACTATATTAGACACTTATCATCAGGACAAACGACAATTAATCCAAGCAGATAAATTATGAAAGACACGACCAAGCCTTCAGTGTTCGCAAAATCAATTCAGAATTGAGAGTGAATTCGTCATTTATTATTGTAGACAACTCTGTTATCTGACCGTGCATTTCTTCAGGAGATTTCTACGAGATAATTATTGTGATTATATAGAACTTCTATTCTTCATAGCATATTCACACTAAGTAAACTATCGTACTTGATTCCCGAAGGCCATTATAATATTAGCAAGTTTTCTTTCAGAGGTTTCTTCTTCATCTTGACTAGGTGCATCAGCGTCTCCCCTGTCATGAAAGCGTCGATTGTCGCGAGGGCCTCGACGATCTCCATCTTTTCACATTATAAGAGTAGAATGTGAGTTGAGCGCAATTATATGAAGAGTGTTAAATTAAGCAGAATAGATTGATACCTCTATAGTTTCGCCTCCCGCCGCCTTGTGAAATATGGTTAAGAGAGGGATCAGCACCCTGGGACGCAAAAATGGACCAAACGACATAGCTGCGATCTTCTTGCTTACCGGGATATTTGCGAAAGCCGCGGTCGTCCCAAGAGCTTTCCATAATCAACGCGATGTACTTTGAGAAAGTGTTGAACTCTGCAAATTTTGTGACGTTTAATGATCGTACAACATAGATCTATATACCGACAAATCAAATATGTGCAATTTAGACGCTTGATGTCTGCACTTCATAACTCGAAGCAGCAAAAAACTCTTCAAGCTCAAGCCAACCCCAGTCAACCTCTTCTATTCAACCAGGCAAATGTTAATCACATTCTTGACGACCGATTGCGAGAGGCTCTTTTGAGGTAATTTGTAATGCAATTAGCATTTATTATTATTATTATTATTATTATTATTATTATTATTATTATTATTATTATTATTATAGCATCTTTTAACTATTACTATTACTATGTAATAGTAAGACACTTTGAATATTCATAAAGTAATTTCTCATGTAGGCTGACAAGACTTCTGCTGAAGTCAAGAAATCCTGGGGCTGGTTAGTGTCAACAGTGTATCTACTCCAACAAGGATGCCATTCCCCCAGAAGCGCGGATGGATTGAATCGATCAAAAATAGTCAACTATAATCAATCAATTGGCGTAGCTATGTTACATAACTAAGGCTCC